CCCCAAAACCCCAAAACCCCAAAACCCCATTCACTCTAAATTCCATTCCAAATATATAAGTTAAATTCAAAATATAAATGAGGAATAATCTTGCTAGAAAAAGCATTTAAGCCATTGCAGATCCTAATTAGTAAGATAGCAATTCACAAACAAGAAGATCCAATTCAAGTAAATACACTTTTATTCATTTTTTTATAGAAAATAAATAGCTAGGAAGTAGTGGCTCATAGAGATCATTATTGACTTCAGAACTTTCAATGAGCAGGAAATAATATTTTGAATTATTGAAAGCGTACTAAGAGTTAGAGTAACAACTACAGGAATAACATTAGAATTAATCTTCTCAATTTGAACTGGAAGAATTAAAGGAGTAGAATGCGAGTTTGAAGTCCTAGATATAAGTGTTAGAAATTGATAGAATGAAGTAAATTGATATTATGGGGACAATAATAGCAAGAAATGAAGAACTTGAGAGGGAATTTCAGATTGTGGCTCGTGCTCTAGAGCTAAGAGAGCAAGCCAATAGAAAAACCTAGGAATTAGAATTGTTTGTAGGTCAACTTTAAAACTAACTCACACAAGAAAAGAAGTTAAATTAAGACTATTTTTATATGAGAGAATAAGATAACAGCGAGCTTACTTTGTTGGAGTCTGAAATGATATCACTTAAAGAAAATAATAGAGACTTGCAAAAATAATTAGAATTGTCAGGGAACTTGCTTGAAGATAAGATTAAAAAGTTAGAGAACCAACAGGATATCATCGACAACCTCAAGGATGAAATTGATTCCTTAAAAACCAACTCAGATTACAGATTAAGATAGTAGCAAGAGGAAATTAAGATTTTATAGGATGGAAATATGCGTAGTTAGTTCTAAATAAAGGAATTATAGAAGCAAATTAGAGAATAATTAGATGTCTATCAAAGAGAAATAAAAGAAGCTTACCTTGGATAGGCATAAAAAGATGAATAGATAACGAGTCTTGAGAAGCATATTATATAGTTGGAAGATTAAATAAGAGAGATGAAGCAATAAAATAATTAGCAACATTAGCTGCTTTTATAAAATTAAAACTAATATAATTTCCCTCTGCAATAGCAATAATAATAGCATAATTTTAATCAGCAATTATAGCCTTAAATTTAGTAATACTAATCATTGCAAAAACCAAACTATTAAGATAAGAGTGAGAGATCTTTTATGGATTAGACAATGAATAAGCTTGATGATCAAATAATGAATGTATCTCACAATATAAGCAGTATAGCAGGGGATTAATCAATGTTTGTGGGAGGAGGATAAAGACTATAGCACCAATAAAATAGCAGCACTAAGTCATTGATAGTTAACAATAATAGCACATAGATAAACAGAATAATAGAGGAGGAAAGAGAAAAGAACAGAAAGCTACTGAGTGAAATTAAATAGCTAAGAACTTAATATAGAGATTGAACAATATTTTTGCAATTAATTTAATAAATCATTAATAATTAATAAACCACAGATGGGGTTTTGGGGTTTTGGGGTTTTGGGG